GCTCTTTCCGACGGGCAAGATGAACACGAGAACTCCCAGAGCAGTCAATTTGACAGATTTGAGCTTTGTAAGAGCTTTGAAAGAATGACTCGTCTCATGCACTGCAGAGGTGATGGAAAATAAGTCAAACATGTTCACAATTTGGCAAAATGTGGGTTAATTTGAGCACTTTTTGACTGAGCGGCTGGTGGCTGAGTGGATAGCACTCTCGCCTCTCAGCAAGAAGGTCCTGGGTTCGAGACCCGGTTGGACCAGGGCCTTTCTGAGTGGAGTTTGCATGTTCTCCCCGTGTCTGCGTAGGTTTCCTCCGGGTGCTCCGGTTTCCCGTACCACTAAAAATATGTACAATAGGTCTGGCATGCGTCTCCTGTACTGGCCCCGCTCCCAAAAATAACAATTGTAAACTGCTTTGAGACTCCAATGTGCAGTGAAAAGGCGGTATATAAATAAATATTAATTACTTACTTATATAAATAAAGATTACTTACTTACTTGCCTTAAAACAAGATTTGCCAATGGGACCAAGCAAAATGATCTGGTTTTAAAGAGATACAAGAAAAGTCTAACTAAAGCAAAAGGTCTTGAAATAATCCTACATGACTCACACTTAAAACACTTAATTCAAGCATTTATAACCTCACATTTAATCATTTTTTGCAGTGTATGCGCCCTCTGCTCTCTGAAGATTACTTTTCTTCTTCTGCGAACCACACAAATCCACCTGAAATCTAACCCTAATCAGACTTATTACCAGCGGGTTCAGACGCCCTTAAGGAGGAAGTGGTGAGGACTGCTTTCTGTGCATGAACTACGGCGTTATGTGTGGTCATTATACTAAAGAGAAGCCATAAACAGCCTGTCAGCACAATCTTACTTCATGCTGAGTGATAAGGTAAGGCAATTAGCCATGAAATGAGGGTTCCCACTGGTATCGTATGGAAACGAATGGGTTTTCTCACGTGCAGTGATTATATACAGAGGAAATAATATTGAGATAGTCATCAGAGACAATGGCGGCGGCCGGAGTGTGTGTGGTGTTGGTGTAATACTGTTAAAACATGGAGCGTTGTAATAAAACCCGTCTAAAACAGTTTGGTTATCACGTGTGTGTTTGGATATGGTTGGCCTCGGTCACGTCTGTAGATCAGATTTCTTAAACAGTTATTCCTCGTCGATGCAGGAGGGTCAAAGGACAGTGGTGATGATCCCGGACACTCCACATTCAACATTTATGGACTTTATCAACGTTTATGGACATTGGTCATCTGCCCCTTATGGACCAATGGCTCTATACACTGCATACAAGTGATGGAACAACAAGCCAAAGGGCAGCACGGTGGCTGAGTGGATAGCACTCTTGCATCTCAGCAAGAAGGTCCTGGGTTCGAATCCCGGTCGGAACATTGTCTTGCTGAGTGGAGTTGGCATGTTCTCCCCGTGCTTGCGTACGTTTCCTCCAGGTACTCCGGTTTCCCCTACCACTAAAAACATGCTCACATGGTTAAATCCTCCAGCTCCGGTAGTCCTGACCACGCTGGGATTAATAAAGTGCACCTTTTAAAATTGCTCAAATCTGGCAAAATGTATCTTCATATGGGTAACATGCTTATTACTACAAGTTATATTCCATCCATTTTCTTCCGCTTTATCCGTTGCCGGGTCGCGGCATTATTATAATCCATAATTTAACTGAAAACTTGAGCTCGTTGATTCAGCTGTGTATGAATTCATGTTGTAAAAAGTGCTGAGTAGAGACTTAGTGTGACGCCCGCTCTCCTCCAATCACAGAACGAGGCTGCGTCCTCTAGCCTCTACAGCGCTGCTAAATACAGTAGCATGTTAGCATAAGTGGCTATAACTCCTGTGGCTGTAACTGCAGACACAGCAAAACAGCCCAAACCACACAACAGTGAGGAAGAGAAGAGGGAACTAAAGCAAAAAAATTATCAAAGAAGAAATCAAGCCCGGGTGAACATAGCTAGCTTACATCGTGTCCTCTGGAGAGACTTGTCTGTGGGAGAGACCTGCGGGACCGCCTCGGACTATCTGTGCTCGGACTACATTCAGTCGCGGAACTAGCGGTTATTTTTCATTTATATAATTTGTTAGCAGTGCGTTGCTTTTGTACCATTTCATCAGTGATTGTTGTACAGCTTACAAGAAGTTGCGCTAATGCTAATGTTAGCGTACGTATCAGATCTCAAATAAAACTAGATTGCTCTATGGGATGAGAAAATAAAGAAACAGTTCATTAAATAAAACTAAATGGCTTTGTCCCATTGGAGAATCTTGTTTTAAGACAGTCAGAATGTGCTCAAATTAAGATAAAAACCACTCAATTCAAACAATAGTGGCCTCATGTTTGATCATTTTTACAGTGTGTCATTGCAACGGTTTGATTCTCAGATCTGTTTTGGTGAATTTGACGGTCTTGTAAAGTCCTCCCATAACTACTGATGTGATTTACGGTTATACAAGAATACATTGAAATGAATTGAAACCGAAAAGTGAGAAATTCAGGATGTTAAAATGGTTTTGCACTTAATCCTTGCTTCTTTTTTACACTTAAGTTGGAGATTGTATTATATATTAGTAGAGAGTTATTGTGCAGTGTGCTCCTCATTCCTTCAATTCTGGTATACTGATACAACACTAACATTTCTCCACTGTGGGACGAATATAAGATCTGTTAATCTAATCAGCTCTGAGCCCAAAGCGTCAAAAAGTGACCCGCGTGGCTCTTTCTGACAAACATGCAAAAGATCAAATGTTTTCTAGCAACAATAACACAGCATTTTGAGTTGTTCTGAAAGATTAGGTTCCCCATGAGGACTTTGCCCATTACTCAGACGGTCGCCTTTCACTTCCTGTTACTGTAATATATTTGAACCTGCAGGAGTCGGTTACTCTTTCCCAAATTAGAAATGGCACTGGTGAGTCCTGACCCGTAAAACCCCGGGCTGCGCTGATCCGTGGATTTGAATGAGAAACACATTTGGAGCCAACAGCGACGAGTCTCCAGTGAGTTATTGTAGTGAGGACTGGCCTGAAAGAAGGGAGCCATGTGTGCGGTGGCAGAGGCTGGACACATGGGGTAAACAGGACCTCCAGACACAGGAGCAGGCCCCATTCTTCTCCTCCTCCTCCTCCTCCTCTCCCACTGAAGTCTGCTGTTGTTGTGCCGCTGGGCAAGACACTTTACTTTGCCTGAAGCCCCCACTGAAACACCAAGTCTGTGCCGTCCCCCACACATCCAGGAATGGATTAATAAAGAATATATTATTTGATTGATTATTTTATATTTAAAAATGTGTAGTAGTTTGCATATAGTAGTAACCACATATATGTCTGAAAGGTGCATATAAAAACTCGCTATCTCAGCAAGAAGGTCCTGGGTTCGAATCCCGGTCAGAACAGGGCCTTCGCTGATTGGAGTTTGCATGTTCTCCCCGTGTCCGTGTTGGTTTCCTCCGGTTTCCCCTACCACTAAAAACATGTACAATAGGAATGGCATGCGTCTCCAGTACTGGCCCCGCTCCCATCGTAAACCGCTTTGTGACTCTGGTCTGTGCAGGCGCTATATAAATAAAGATTTATTACTTACTTATTGACAATTTTGTGTGGTGAAGAGGGACCTGAGTCATCCCCTTCCTCCTCTCTGGTCATGAGCTTTCAGTAATGACCGAAAGGACAAGATCGCAGGTACAAGCGTTGACATGAGCTTCCCCCTCTAAGTGGCTGGGCAGTCCCTAAGAGATTGGGTGAGGAGCTCGAAGTAGAGCCTCTGCTTCTTCAGGTCGAGAGGAGCCAGTTGAGGTAGCCTAGGCACATTTTTGGGATGCCTCCTGGACGCCTGACTGTGAGGTGTTCCAGGCCTGTACCCACCAAGAGGAGACCAGGGGAAAGACCCAGGACCTGCTGCAGGGACTGTGTCTCTCAGCAGGCCTGGAACGCCTCAGGATTCCCCCAGATGAGCTGGAGGAAGTGTGTGTGGGGGGTGGAAGTCTGTGTCTCTGCCCCCACAATGCAGCAGCAGGTAATCAGATAAATGGCACATAATGAAATGAGAAAAATAATAGTAAACAGTTAATATCTATTCCTACAGATTGTTAATAAATTATTCTTTCCCTATTGATATATGTGATTGTTGTAACTGTAATTCTCAGTCATTTGAAAACACTTGAAAACTGATGGAGCAATGTTGACTGTGAAAAGGTAATTCATATTTGGTTTGTTATTGGATATGTAAAGTTACTAGTCTGCCGTTGGACTTTAGACTCCCTTTGGGCTCAGACCCAGAAAGACCTTTCACCAAAGTCCTCACAGTCTGAAGAGTCTGAGTCTGAGATGAATCTGATTTTAAGAACGTTCTGGAAGACAGAAGTGTGAGGCGACTCGCTTCCAATGCACCAACTGTTTGGACGGCGTTGTTTATTGTTGAAAAGTAGGTTTTAAGCAGCACTAATGATTGGTGAAAAAATAACAGCTGTTTTCTTTTTGACAGAGCACTAACTTTTAATCAACTTAGCAAAACAAAAGCATTTGTTTGTTACTAAAACAACTAATCTAGAAGTTTGACACGATGGAGTAAAAAAAAGACAGTTTCCAAAAAACAAGTTTGAACAGTGGACTCTGCTTAAATCCAAACCAGCATCAGACTTGTGTCGTCTCAGAGGCTAAGCAGTGTGAGCTCTGGTTAGTTCTCTGATGAGAGTCACAGAGTTACAGAGGGTAAAACTAGACAGCATTAACTGAAATAAAGTCTGTTTTAATCAGATCTAAATAATTATTTTAAATCTGTTATTGCTAAAATCATAAACAAAGGCCAAATGAAGTATAGAGGCCCTGAGAGAATGTATCAGACTATTACAGCTTTCATTTGGAGACAGAGCGTATCCCTTTGCTGCACTCTAGTGTTAGAAGACCCACATTACATTTACTCATTATATTCCTACTGATCATCATCATCAGGATATGCAGCAGGCATCAGAAGACTCCCATCAGTTCATCTGCAAGAATAAACAATACATGATTCATCATTTACAAATAAACACACACAACAAGGATAAAACTGTCGTCACAGAAGTGCATTTGTATTCACTCTTTCTTTCATATTTACTCTTTCTTTCATATTTACTCTTTCTTTCATTTCTTTCATATTTACTCTTTCTTTCATATTTACTCTTTCTTTCATATTTACTCTTTCTTTCATATTTACTCTTTCTGTCATGTGCACTGTGCCTCAAACACTCACATCATGACCTTCCTAACGGGCCCAGAGGTCCGAGAGACGTGAGGACACTGTCATGATGGGACACTTCTCTCCTGACTCGGTTTCCAACGTTACAATTCTGTAAAGAGCAATGAAATAAGTATTGATCATGAAAGTTAAAACAACACAAATCAAGTGACTGATATAAAAGAACAGCTGCATACAACCATTCAGAAGCAACAACCTTACACATTTTGTCCTGACCACAAACACATTTTGTGAAAGTCATAATTTATTTTAAAAAAGGAAAAAACAAAGAAAGAAAAAAAACTATAAATACTGACTTTGCAAAAGTATTTGGCTCCTTGAGTTAATACTTTGCAATAACATCAATTATTTTGAGGTATGTCTCAAGCTATGTCTATATGGTTTTTTTTTTTAAGAAAATAAAAACCATGTTTGTTGTGACTAGATGTACAGCTGTGGCTTTTTTCAAGCCACAGTGCATGAAACAGGCTGCAGATAGATGACGTGCAGTATTTGTTCTTCTTACCACGGCACAGTTGTTAACGTCCAGAACGCAGAGGTGGGTGTGGCAGTGCACATGTATCGGGGAAAAGTCACTGAGAGAAATTATATCAAAGGAGAATCGTGCCACGGTGGAGTCTCCATTCTGAATGATGGTCACTGAGCGGTCGGCGGGACACCTGACAAAGACACATTTACAATGTAACATTGAAATACTTTCTCTGTACACAGTACAGATGTAGCACAGGTTAACCCATCATTGTTTGAAATGCAAACACAAAGTTACCCTTGTGAAATGAGATCATGATACAGGACATCATGAGCATCTTGGCTCGGCGTGGCCCAACACCTGTCCATGACGATGGAGAGCTGGTGCTCATCGATGCCCTCCGCTCGCACTTCAATGAATAGTTGCTCATCCAGAGACATTTCAACGTCTGCGGTCGTTCCCAGTGGATTCTGAAAGTCTGCATCCTGGTAAGGAATTATTCTCACCCGATAGTGGCCCTGACCGGACGGGAGGGTTTTCTTTACTGCGCTATAAAAACACATCAGAATCTTTTAAATATCACACTGGTTATAGTCAAGTGCTAGTAAAGGCTGAAAGATGAATGTACAAAATGTGTTCATAAGATGAATATCACCTTTCAACAGGATAGATGGCTGTATCTATTGACACGGCATAAGTGAAAGGGAAAACACAGGAGAAATACAACTTGTTTACGGCGTCATCTCCTTCTACAGCATTCTCATACATCAAATGGGTTCTATTGCTCTGGAAAATCAAGATAGACAGAAGATTTAAAATCCAGTATTGATCAATTATCAAAGGGAAAGTAAAATTATCACCCTCAGGGTGGTGCCACACAACTGGGTGTCATTATTGAAGTGGAACTCGAGGCGTCCACTTTGAAGAGAACCTTTGCAGGACTCATCTCTGAGGTGGAGAGCGCTGGGATCATAACCGGCCTCAAACAGAAGGCAGCGGGAGAGAGAGAGCGTTCCTGAGCTACTGACACAAGTGATGGATGAATCTGAAACAGAATGAAGGTACATTTTATTAATCATTACATAAAATTACCCAAAAACATATTACATAAAAAAATACAAATACAAAGACCCTAATTCATACCAAAGTTGTCACTGTTTTTGCCATTATTCTCACGACAGAAGCATCCATGAACACCTTCCTTTTCTCCACACCATTCATCATCCGTGCATTGGAACTCAATGCAAGGATCTCCTAAAACAAACAATTACTATTTTTTGTTTCCATAATGCGATCGCAATCTTTTCAGTCTCTGGTCTCTCTCTAAGGTCTCTCTCTGGTCTCTCTGCAAGGACTCTCTTGGGATCGTCTCTCAGAAAATGGTCTCTATCTGGTCTCTCTCTGGTCTCTATCTGGGTCTCTCTCTGGTCTCGCTGGTCTCTTGGTCTCTCTCTGTCTCTCTCTCTGGTCTCCTCTCTGGTCTCTCTCTCTGTGTCTCTCTCTGGTCTCTCTTTCTGGTCTCCTCTGGTCTTGGTCTCTCTCTCTCTGGTCTCCTCTGGTGTCTCTCTCTCTTGGTCTCTCTGGTCTCTCTGGTCTCTGGTCTCGCTCTCTGGTCTCTTGGTCTCTCTTGTCTTCTGTCTCTCTGGTCTCTCTCTCTGGTCTCTCTCTCTGGTCTCTCTCTCTGGTCTCTCTCTGGGTCTCTCTCTTGGTTTCTCTCTCTCTGGTCTCCTCTCTGGTCTCTGTCCTGGTCTTCTCTCTGTCTCTCTCTGGTCTCTCTCTGGTCCTCTCTCTCTGTCTCGCTCTCTGGTCTCTCTCTGGTATCTATGGTCTCTCTCTCTCTCTGGTCTCTCTCTCTGGTCTCTCTCTCTGGTCTCTCTCTGGTCTCTCTCTCTGGTCTCTCTCTCTCTCTGGTCTCTCTCTCTGGTCTCTCTCTCTGTCCTCTCTCTGGTCTCTCTCTCTGGTCTCTCTCTCTGGTCTCTTCTGGTCTCTCTCTATGGTCTCTCTCTCTGGTCTCTCTCTGGTCTAACAGTGAAAATAGTAATTCTCACCTAAACAACATCTTAACATCAAAAACATCAAATATCAGATTTAGTTTCAATGAGTTCAGTTCAAATCTCATTTAATATTTCAGTTTTTATTTCTGTATAAAATTGTATGAATAAACTTTTAGCACAGGTACAAAAGCACTGAGCCGTGTTATACTTTTACTTTCACTTTCAAAGGCTCTATAATCTCACCTTTTCCCGCGTGGCCCGGTTCAAAACTCTGCATTGCTGGTATATTTTTATATGCAGTGTTTTTTGACGACTGAATGGAAGGATCTCACCGTTTCCATGGTAACCACTTTGAATATACGTCATTTTAAAACAAAGTCTCCTCTCCCTCTCTACGATGCAGATTAAAGGGAAATGTCTGGGAGTTTTTTGATATTATGATTTTTACTCCATTTTCTGGCTGATAACCAGGAAAGCCTTGTTCTCATGTTGGGTTTGTGCGACAGGATTCCTTGGGTTGTGTTGTTATTCTAGGATTGTGTTTCTTTCTTAAGATCATTATTGGACGGTTCTCTTACGGCTGCCGCTGTACGAATGTGTCCACAAAGTCCGATTCTCACTTGGCATAAAGTCCATTTTTTTAAATAATATTGGTGTGGTTTTGTGGTTTGGTGTGATTGACAAGGGGCGGGTCTAGCTATGATGTCAACAGATCGGAGAGGATTCGACCCGGAGCGTTCTGTGAGGGCCAGAGCCGAACATAGAGTGAAAAGTGATGAGAAACATAGTCTAACAAATGCTGAAATAGGGGAAAACAAGTGTCTTAATTTGGGATTAGATCGATTTAAGAGTTTTAAGACTTTTTCAAGTGTTCTGTCTGCGGCCTGCAGTACGGAGGTGGCGAGTGTGGGCGTGTCGGGTAGTAGACGTCACTACTCGACACGCCCACTCCGCGTGTCATGAGCATGGAATCTATGTATAATACGGGTATGAGTAGTAGTGAGTACTATCTATGCCCCAATGAATTTATGGCAATAATGAATTTTATGGGCATGTCATTGTCAATCTTATTTATTGGGGGAAAATGGACGATTTTGTAAATATCAAAGTAGTAAATTTGCCTACAAATAGCTGCCATTACTTAGATATCTATCAGATAGGGATTTGAAGCAGCTCAGGACAAATCGTTAATGAGTCAAATAATGCAGTGCTTATGTCTAATGTGTACATTCATTTATAAAAGGGGCTTGGTTGGTGGCTCAAATCCTGGCTGCCCCAAGTGCAAGTCTGGTTTGTTCTTGAGCAATGCACTTCACCCACATGTGTGGACATAGTGAGAGACTGCTTGGTGGTGGCCAATAGCACAGATTAGTAGCCTGGCATCCTCCAACCCAGCTGTGACACACTGTGTGGAATAAATGAAATAATAAGTAGTGTGGCGTTTTGAGAAATGTAACACAGGATTGAAAAGTACATTACAAGTTAAAGATATTATTTACACCCCACCACCACCACCACTCCTACACCATGGGTCTCCACATTACACATAAAGAGAACCTGCCATAACATTTTTGGGCCCAACTTTTGGACTTTTGGGACAAGCAGACATTCATTACTTCTTGTGATTGTCATATTTGTATGTAGAAGAGGGAGATTAAACAAAAAGGAACAAATTGTTTCTGGCTGTAATGTACATGCTTTTTTATGATTTGTGTTATCTGAATGGCTCTGAAATGTAGACCACTGAATAAGTTTCAACACAAAACAAAATTCTCTTTTATTTATAATCTGAGTGAAAGGCTTCCAGAGGGGGGGTGGAGCGCGCCAATCTCCATCTCTCTTGGAAAGCTTTCAGCCTCCTGCTGCCTCTCTGTAAATGCCTCACCAGATCATTTGCAATCATTGTAAACCACTGTCCATAAAGAACAATCAAGATTTAGATTGTGCAAGTGCACAGTGAAATATTGTCATCAAATTTTAAATAATTCTTACCATGGTTCATACTTTTTTTTTGGCCCCTTTATGAATTTTTCAATGCCTCATGCTGAGGCGGTGATATGCCCTCGGCCAGAGTGTGAACTGTCACATAGATAAGGTAAACTGTGTTACATTCAAACAACACGTTCTTCAAAACAAATGCAGCCCTAAAACGGTGTTGTGGCCGGTTTAATATATTGTCAGTGACTTGCACTTATGGACTTTTATGGTCTGTCTCAACAAAGTTGCAATGCAAGAGTTTTTAGTACAGTGTACGTCCAGGAAACAGGTACCATGAATGTTATGTTTGAGGGGGGTTCAGTGATTATGCCACACTTTCATTCAATAGTGCCCTGTGCCTGCTGGTGGGCGTCGGGCCTACATAATTGTAATCAAATAACATTATATAAATCATGCCTATAATTACGGTAAGAGCGTGTAGGACAATTCAGAAGGATGGGGGAGGAGCTTGGGTTGTTTTTTTTTTCAAATCCAAGTACCTCTCTGTCTCTCATTCAGACAATCTCTAGACAATCACTTTAAAGAAAACAATGTACAATATTGCAAACACCTTGGATTCGAAGTTAATTTTTTTTTTTAAACATAGCCCATGTCAAACAGATGCCATTTCATGGGTTTGCACGTGATGAGCATTTGTGCTTCTCGCCATTGTTTAAAAACAGGTTACACACGTGAGGTGTTCCCCTGCTTCAGACACTGGAGCATGATTCCCATCATGACAATAGTGGATGCAACTGAAAGCAGACATAAACATCCATTTGTGCACACTCAGAAACACACATTATCATGGAACATTCATCCCAATAACTATGGTCAGTGACTTCTGTAATGTGTAGGAAAACATCGGTGAGCTACATCACATAATTGCCTATCTAATTCTCCCACTGTTCTTGGAAAATCATGTAAAAGAGTTATGTTTTTTCTCCGTAATACCCATTTTAACGATGCAAATGACTTGGGCTATATTATATAGTATAGATTATACTATGTACCTATTATTTACTATGTACCTGACCTGTCGATGGCACATGGGACTTCTTAGAAGAACCTACAAAATTGCTTTCTCTGAAATGTATTTAGTTCACTTCTTAGAAAAACCTTTCTAGTCAGGGTGATGTGCATTTTTATTCATTAATACACTGTAACTGGAGTGCCGGCTAAAAATTAATAAAACCACGTTGTTGGTTGACACTTACTGTTTTGCGTACGCGTCTGCCATGGTCTTCTCTTCATCGGATATAATGTGCAGAAGTTCAAGTGTATTCAAAAATTCATGTAGTAGGCGTGTCGGGTAGTGGACGTCTCTACCCGACACGCCTACTTCTCGGACACGCTCCGTACTGCCAAAGCCGCAGACAGACCCTTCTCGTTTCCTCGCAGCGCCCAGAGGCCTCCTCAGTAGTGGAGCATGGAGGTATTTGGCAGGCCCGTTCCAAGGGGGGTGCGAGGCCCTGTGCGAACTCGAAACGCGAGGCCCTTGCCCTGACACTTTTTTCCCCGATCTGAGGGAAAGTTTTCTGTTATAATCTTTGCATGAATTCAGCACCACCCTCGCGCGGTGCTTGACGAGATTCAGCACGCGCGTAACGAGTGTCCTTCGCTCTATGCAGGCGTTTGGCGCGCGCAGGTACACACGCACACACACTCTAGCTGTATTGGTCGCGGTCTTTTTTAGCGAACATGTCTCTTTCGTCCTTTGGCAAAATGGTAGAGACTCAAAAGGATGAACCTAAAAGGTGTTCCATTTTTCTTTAATTGTTTAGATTGGGGCAAAATGGCCAAATGGCTATGAGGCGGAGTCAATATTATTATTTTCTCATCAAATAACCGTTTTTCCATGGCCTCCACACCTTGACAACATACACTCCTCCTCCTCCACATGGACAACTACAAAATACTCTTCTCCTCCTCCTCCACACACTCTGAACCACAACAAAAACGACTCCAGCTAGCTAAAGCTAGACCCCATTAACCAGTGTGTTTGCTAATGCTTTTAAAAATATGTTTGTGATGTGGATAGTAGGACTAAACATGGCAATTAGCAGCGCCTCACACACTGTCACACCGTGAATACTCCTCTCCTCCTCTGCTACACATAGGGTCTGCTCCTCTGCTCACACCTGTATCAACTGCTCCTCCTCTCCTCTTCCTTCATCCTCCTCTGCTACACAAAGAGGGGTCTGCTTCCTCTGCTTCACACCTGTATACACTGCTCTCCTCCTCTCGCCTCTCCTCCTCTGCTCACAACAAAGGGGGGTCTGCTCTACTGCTCACACTGTCTCACTGCTCCTCCTCCGCGAGTATCATCTCCCTACACTGCGATCATTCCGTTACTTTCTTTGTATCTCACTTCAGGGACCATGCTAAAGTTATCTGACAGTTTTTTCGGGAGGACCGTTGCATACATAGCTGCGCGCGACGCTGCACTGTTTACAAATCGTTTTGGTGAAAATTTGACTTTATTGTTAAAAAAGTTCTTTTGATCATAACGCGAAATCAAAGAGGTCCCAGGAAAGGGTTTGGGTTCCAAATTTGAGTTGCTGTCTGCCCTTTTTTGGGGACCCTTGACTAGGGTATTTATAAAATAAAATAAAAGAAGGAAGTTGCGAGGCCCCTGTGTGGCTGCGAGGCCCCTGTGCGCGGCACAGGTCGACAAGCCCTTAGGCGGGCTGATTTTGGGGAGGGGTTTAATCAAGAGAGGCCTTATTTTTTTCTAACTTCAACAAAAAATGATAAAAGAACTGTAATCATTGGTGCCAAAAGGCATGGGAGTATAACACTCCGATTTCAGTAGGGTGCGGATACGGCAATATTGGATTCTTAGCCCGCATTAAAGAAACAGAAGCAGCTCATCAGTCTGCGCATGCGCCTCGTCAGTCTTTGTCTAGCGTCTTGAGGAGGTGGGTCACGTTTTTACACTTACCTGATTTCGGTTTTATATTAGAAAACTTTGAATATCAAATTAAATGCTTATTTAGTTGTTACAAATGCAAATGTACAAAGTCCGGCCTTTAGAATCCATGTTTTAAGTCGGTAGTTTTACAGTGATGGGAAGTCGGAATGTTTAAGTGTGCGGCCTAGCCTAGTGTTTCTACTGTAGGTTTATGTGATAGTGTTGTATCTACCTCTGTCTTTAAATCCTGACCATAGTTTTATGGATTCATTATTTTATAAGTTCATTTCAACTGTGATGCGGTGATAAAAGACACAGTTTTGTTGGTAAAACATTAGTTATTATTAAAACAGTTTTCAAGCACAAACAGCAAAACATTACATGTAGCTGATAATACAATACGAGTGTATATATGTTAGATATAAGTTATATATATGTTAGTATAAGTTCTATATAAAGTTAGATAGTCCACAGTCTCCTGTAGTATCAGGCTCTGAGCCCAAAATGCTTTTCCTTCGAAGCACAAAGCTCTCTGCTCCATAGCGCTCGTCATGCTCCTGCTGCAGCGCTCCGTGCTTCCTTCCATACACACACACGGACCATTCACAGCGGAGCTTCCTTGCGGCGACCCTTAATGGTAGCAATATGTAAAAAATCTGGCAAATGGTGGTACTGCAGTTCACATAATATTTTGTAGTCCTCTCTTCACTATCCCTGACTCCAGTTTGCCAGATTCACAACCAAATATCCAGCAGCAAACACAGAATTATTTTATCAGTTGTTTGTCTCGTCTCCATTCACATTGCCATGGACAGGCCGTTGCTATGCTGAATGAATGTTTGATAATGTTTTTTTAATTATTATTATTTGGACATTTGAGATAAAAAACAAACAAAATAAAGCATGTAATTACACATAGTTTATGCAAAATAAATAAGCAATCGATGTTCTAAATAGGTAGTGGGAAGAATGGATGTTGGAGTATTTCTTAGCGTTATCACATTCAGGGGTTTGCTCAAGGAGGATATCACCTTTACATTTTATTTATCTCCCTAACAGGTAAAAGTCCACTTCAAAAAGTGACTAACATAATTTTAATTGGGGGGTACATGATGGTCTTAAATGATTATTTTTACAATTTAAGCTAAACAATCTGCAAAAAAAACCGTCTTGGACCTTCATTTTTACCGTTTTTAGAGCAATCTGTCATAGAATGTGAAACATGCCAATAAATACAAAAAGACATAGCCGGTGATCGAACCCGGGGTTCCTGCATCGGTAGCGCACAGTTTAGACATAGAGTTAGTTGGTCCCAAAGTGTGGGTCCTGACCCCCGGGGGGGTCGCGGGGAACCACCTGGGGGGTCGCTAAGTGCTGATTTCCACACAAAAAGGGTACTATAATTATTTTAATCTCGTTAGTAATTTAGTCCCAGTATTGCGTGCGTCAATCAAAATCATCCGTACCACAGTCACTATGCGCAGCGACAGAAGGTGTGTGCCTGTGTTGTTGGCTAAAAACTAACGGTGTTTGAGGCTAACAAATAAATAATACCTGCTTTAAAATGAAACGTGGTTATATTACAACAGAAAAACCCGGAGGGGAGTAACGTCCACTTGTATCAGGGGCTGATGGTGCGAATGAGAGGGAGGAGGGCAGAGGAGGGAGAGAGGGCTGAGGAGGGAGAGAGGAGGCAGAGGAGGGAGGGCAGAGGAGGGAGAGAGGGGCAGAGGATGGAGGGAGGGAGGAGTGCAGAGGGGGAGAGAAGGGCCAGGGGACGGGGAGGGAGGACAGAGGAAGGAGGGAGGGAGAGAGGGCAGCGGAGGGAGGGCAGCGGGAGGGAGGGAGGGCAGCCAGAGGAGGGAGAAGAGAGGGCAGCGGCGCGGAGAGGGCCAGCGGAGGGAGAGGAGGGCAGAGGAGGGGCAGATGGTAGAGAGGGAGGACAGAGTGAGGGTGGAGGAGGCAGAGGAGGGAGAGAGAGGCAGCGGGGTAGAACAGCGGTTAAAAGAGGGCCCGGCTTTTCGGAGTCAAAGGGTAAAGAGGTCGCACTTTAAACAGCGGCGTGGCCGGTTTATTGCCTTTCTGTCTGTAACTTTGGAAAGGAAAGCCTG